TTATACATGGAATTACTCCCCGGGCAAGGCCCATTTGAGCGCCACTGTTAAAGACTTCCTGCTCACTCAGTTTAAATAAATGATCCAGGAAGAGTCACTCAGGTTAATCCTGCTTTAACCGTACATAACTGGTCCATACTGATTTTGATCTGTAAATAAGTGTAATGTATTATAAATAATCTTGTCTCCTTACCATTTTTTCATTTTCTGTTCATGTAACATGTTCAAAAACATCTGTAATAATAAAACTGGTGATAAAATCAATGATCAGAAAGAGTGATCAGTTAGTATTTGTTTTAATAAATGTGTTCAAATATCAAACAAACAGCTAATTAACATTAACATGATGACAGTAGAAGGTCTCTCTTTCCCAGGATGACAACATGTAAAGCCTCTCCTGACCCTGGACTAGGGCTGTAGTGAAGCCTCGACGAAGTTGACGGCTCGATTCTAAAAATTTGTCGACGTCAGATCCGGAAGTCGACGCACCGCGCCCACTTGTTGCATCCCCAGGAGTTTGTAAATAGAGGAGGAATCTGCCCGTTTTTCCTCTAGTTCGCCCTCTTCTCCACCTTCACTAACATCTCCGCCAAATACCGAAGACCCGGAACAACGTCCGTCCACTACTAGATTATTTTCCTGTTTTGCCCCTTCGTCTCCCGGCAACGAACAACAACTTCCGGGGTCAGATGCGCTGCTTCGTGTCTATCGCAGATGTAGAAAATCACCGGGAGCGCTTCTCCCTTCATTAAGGAGCTTCTTTCAAACATGAGGAGAGCTGTTTTGGTGGTAGCAGTCTCTCCTCCGTGCTGGTCTGTTTGCTGCTGGGTGTTTTTGGTTTATTTAAACTTGGTAACTTGAACTTAACGTTGGTAAAGCTACTGTTAGCATCTTCGCTAACAGCTTCTTGCGTTGGGATAAGCTGTTACGTTTTGGTTTAGAGTTCATCTTTTTTGTGGTGTAGATCTCCCTTTTATTACATTTAGAGTGTTGTGGGTTTTCGGTTTAGTGTAAAATATCACCTGAGTTTGGTTTAACCCGTAACACCACTCGCCTCACGCACATAAGTGACCAAAACAAAGCAGCATGGAGACACTCCATCTTCTACCACCTCTCAGGCAGCAGCCTGCACTCCCAAGTTCTACACGTCACCAGAACATAACCAACCGCAACACAATAAAAGCAGTGTTATACAAAATGGAAGGCCTGTAGTGTTTATTCTCTTACAGTAAGAATTTATCAATTTTTTTGAGGAATTTATTTGAGATTTTCTGGTTTTTGTTAATTGTGCAATAGAAAAATAATCATTAGATTAATTTTCTAAATAGTCATTAGAATAGTCGACTATTCGATAAAATAATCGTCAGAATAATCGTTTTAAAAATAATCGTTTACCCCCAGCCCTACCCTGGACACCTGCAGTCCTACAGAGAAAATCAGAACACAGGTGACAAAAAGACAAACACATTTCTACATTTATCCACATGAGAAGATAAAAATTATATTCTTCACACAAACTATTTTTACTTCATTAAAACGTGTCAGCTGTGTAAATCCCTGAATGTAAAACTATTTTTCACAGCAGAACTACTGTGGTTGTGTGTAAACAGCTTCACTCTTCACCTCTAAGCTTAATAAAAACGCTTCTTTGCTCCATCATCCTTAAAACAAATGACAAGTTTAACTCACCACACACACACACACCAAAAGGAATAACTGGGACCCGTGAAACAAACTCGTTTTTGCTGATTTCTGCCTAAAATGTAATTTAAAAAAACAAATATACAAACGAAAAATGTCTATAAACAGAACCGCTTTCAGCTTAGTTTTCTACCGCCTGCTGGGATCAAGCTAGTTTACGGTGGGTTTTTCCTATTACACATTCAAGCTAGTTTTCGGTGGGGTATGTTTTAGCCTTAAATTACATGAAAAAAACAATTTGCGGTATTAGATCTTATATAAAAAACAAACCAAAAATGCCCAAACAAGTATTTTATTTTTTTGACTGCTATTTTTTTTAAACTTATATTTTAAGCTGTACTGCTCTCCCACTCCGTCCGCCATTGTTGTGAGAGTCGAGTCCAGCAACCGGCGCGCAAAGCATGCTGGGATAGCCTTGCTCCTGTGAGGATCCATCAGACCCATCCTCGAAATGTGGGTGGAGCGAGGACGCATTTGAGGACGCGAGAATGAGCATTCTTGGAATTCGGACAGTACTCGTCGCTGCACTGTGACGTCATGGACCTCAAAATGCGCTCTTACAAGCATCCTTCCTCTGGATTCGGACACACCCTTGATCAAATTTTGAAAAGCTCCTCTCAGCTTGAGCCACAGTGACTGGCAGAGCAGTCCAAATGTTGGGGTAGATCTCCAATAGATCTTTATCATGATCCATGATATTTTAGAATTGCCTCTGAAACTGTAATTTAAACTGACATAAAACAACTGTAGTCTACCAAAAATGACAACTTTTACAGAACAAATCATGTAAAAAATAATCAGTGCAGCCATCTGCAATAAATAAACAGGATAGTTAGTGGTGACTGGGGAGTTTTCTTCTGCTTGTACAGTGGTTTTATTTATTATTATGTGAGCATGATCAACATGTGTTTGTTGTTGTTCAGGCAGGCTGCAGGCTGCAGTGAGCATTTAACAAATCCTAGTTTGAATCAGTAAAAAACGATTCAAGAAATGTTTTTGAACCATTTGAATATTCGTTTCAATATTTCAGCCCTATTAGCTCTGTTAGCAACTAGTTGACCGAATTTAACCGTTAAAATCCCAGTTAACTTGTTCAAAAATTGAAAACATGCATCATGAGAGTGTACATACCTTTATCTTTCTCCTCTTTTTTTTATTTCTGAATCGGGCACCTGGTGGTTTTAGCCTTTTTATGTTCATCTCTTCTGTTTGGCTCTTGACTCAATAAGTTTCCTTTAGTCAGGACTAAACAATTTGACCTTGATGGGGGGGGTGACCACAAAATCGTTTTGTTTTTCCTTTTTTTATTCGGCCATTTCACACAATTCAGAAAAACCTGAGAGAATGATGGGCCTGTGTTTATATTATGAATGAAATGTGCGTTAAATAGAAGAACATCAAGATGTGATTGACTTTAGCCATGTCAATACAGTTGATTCAGCCCCTACCCGCTCATTTCATTTGGGAAGACCCAGAGGTGAATTCCCCCGCCGCACCCCTCCCCTTCCTCTTCTTCATACACGCACGGTGCACGTGAACATTCTCAGTCAGCAGGAGCACCTGCAGCTGCAGGGGGCGCCAACTTGCTGTTTCCAATCCAGACTCTGTGATATGACAGATAATAGAAAACCTCGGTGCGGCGCAGATTTCTTTCTTTTTTATTTTTTTACTCAGCGCTTGTGCGCCCCTTTTGTGTCATGAAAAAATGCCGCCCCGGGCAACTGCCCTGTCTGCCCGTGCCTAAAACTGCTACTGTCAAGTAGTATGGGTTTTATACCAACGCTATTCTTTTAAATTCATCCTTTAAATCTGTAAAACCCTACCTGGGTTACCAGAATTAACATTTACAAAAGGACTTTTGTAAACGTACACACAGTGAACTATTAAAAGTACATTTAACATTCAACAAACATTACATTCAGTCAAAATAAAGAGTGCAAAAAGAACTAAAAGTGCTTCCATAAATCAGTGAGTTAACCAAAATAAAGTTTTCACTGCTTTTGAACAGAAAAAGCCACCAGCGGCTCGACGGTAACATAATGCTAAGTTTAGCATGAAGCTAGCAGATTTTATAGGCTAACGCGTGGCGTTAACTCACCAAGATGAGTTATCAATATGGATGCAGTAGTGGACTCCATCACACGGCTGCTCCAGCTCATGCTCTCATCACTTAATGCAACAATATTCCAAATTAGTTTTTAGGAATTGCCAACAGTGGAGTACAACACGTTTCTGCCTTTAAACTCACCAAGATGAAACATTAAATCCAGAACAGCTTGTGTACAACTGGTCTCGTTCATGTCCAAGTGCATAAAGACCGTTTAACAGGAAACAAAGTGGGAAGAACCGGACCTGACTTCCTCATTTCAATGTAAACGTCTTTTCAAAATAAAAGCACAAATAAAATTTAATACCGGTAAAAGAAGAGAAAATGGACTTTTTCTCTGCTGGGTTACACAAAGGTAATATATTAAGCTTAAAAGCAACAATATTTACCCCCTACACCAGTTGCCTGTAAACTGTAACCTGTCCTTGGTCAGATCTGCTGCAAGCCAACAGAAAGGACGGTGCAGCTGCAAGGAGGTTTGGGTTGGGTATTGGTAGTTTCAACTTGTTGGTGGGGATTCCCAGATTGTTGATGGCGCTGAACTGCTGTGATTTTATCTTTATGAATAAACCAAGAAGGCTATAAACGGCCTAGGATGAGCCTCTTCCCACATGCCAACACTCGGGACCGATAGGGATTTTAAAAAAAGGCTGCATGGTGGCGTAGTGGTTAGCACTGTTGCCTCGCAGCACGAAGGTCGCAGGTTCAAAACTCGCCTTTCTGCATAGAGTTGCGTGTTCTCCCCATGCATGCGTGGGTTTCCTCCGGGTGCTCCGGTTTCCCCCACACATCACAACATGCCCTACAGGTTATAAAAAAAGAAAAAAAAATCTTGTACGTCGCTTTGGATAAAAGCGTCTGTGAAATGAATGAACATAGTTTTTCACCATAAAATATCATATTATATTAGCTTGCATACTAAAGTGTTTCGTAGCAGTATGTTAGAAATGAATATAGTAGGAAAGATGCCTAAAACACGGCAAAAACTTTACTTAATCTTGTCATTATGGTTGACACAATATTTGTGTACCATTTTCTGAAATATCAGGGGGAGCCTGAGAAAGGGGGTTTGAAATGGATATTTTTCTAAATGTAGTTTGCTTGAATGGTTTTTTCCAAGTATGTCAACTTCACCTTTAAGGCATGCTTCAAGGTGTTACCACAAGCAATGAAACGGAGGAAAAATGAGAAATGGATGAAAGAGACTTTTATTATATAAACATTATATTTTTGTTCAAACAAGAAACCTGAAAAATGTTATTAGTAATATAAATACAGCTACTCATTCCAAAGCTTATGTAACCAGTCAATGTTGCCAGCATTACATAAGCAGTTATAAAAGAAAAAAAAAAGAAAAACCGAAATGTGGTATCTCATAAGATCAGAAACATTTGTCATAAATAAAACTAGACAAGATATTGAGTTTATTTTTTCTTACTTTAAAAAACTCCATTTAATTATTGTTTCATTTTAAAACAAGGTTGCAGAAATACACAACAGCTACAGAATTATAAACTTGTCCCAAAGCAACAGGCAAAGAACATGAGAGCTGACCAAAGTGCGTCTCAAGCAGATAGAGAAAAGTAAAAACCAGAAAACCTAAATAAAACAACTAAAACACAGATAAACATTAAAACAAAAGACAAAAAACTAATCACAAACTAAAAGCCATTCCATAGAAGTGAGACTTTAAACGAGAAGTAAAAACCGCCAAAGAAGGGCCCTGCCTTACACCCAAAGGCAGTGCATTCTACAGCTGGAGGGTGGTATAGATACGTTCTCACTCTCCCCGCGATTTATAGCACATTGTGGGAGTGCAAAGGAGGATGAGATCTGCTGACCTCAATGAAAGCTTAGGAACATGGGGGCGAGCAGATCAGAAAAATATATAGGATACAACAGCGCCATCTATCATTAACAGAAGGCACATGCAACTAATAAATGCTATGTAAAATTAATGTTTAGGATGAGATAAAGATGCTGCAATCCCACCTATGGAACTGTAGCATGTAAAAACCCAAAGCAGATATCCTAATTCTGCATGATTCTGCAAGGTCTGCAACCGTTTGGATTTTGTTAAAAAAATAAATACTTTTTTTTTAATCTGAAAGAACAGTTGCTTCCGAAAGTGTATGTAAGATTACATTGTAGATTCGGACCATCACTGTGTGTGAATGTGAATAACTAATGCGTTTTTGAGTTCCTTGACTCATAAAAGCACAGTGCTGGTTATTTATCATTTCATCACTTTTGAGGCGGATATGTCTTTGTTTCTGGTCAAGTTTAATGACACTGGTCCCTTGGCAGGTGGTTGTGTTCAGGGATCCATTCAGATTTGCTGAAACACTCTGCAGCTTTTCTGTCACACTCACAGATGAACATCTTGCATTCATCGTTTTTCTCTAAAAAAAAGGAAGAAAAAAGTCAACGTACGTTTTAATCAGGAGGATGAAAAACCACAGTCACTTCTGTGAAATCACACTCACTTGTACAGGTTATCTTTTTGTGAGCGTCGTCACACTTGTAGTGGTAGAAGTTGGTGTAAGGGTTGTCCATGATGGGCCAGCACTCAGGATGCTGCATGGAGTCACTATAACACTTGTCATGAACTTGGCAGCACCTACATGTAAAAAATAAGTTAGTGAAAGAAAATATTAATGAGAGAAAAAAAGTCAGGTGGATTGACCTGTCCAAATCGTCGACAGGTGTTCCAAAGCCTCCCAAACCACAGTAGCAGCCATAATCAGTGTAGTCGAGAATAGGCCAGCTATTGGGCATCAGGCACAGGATCATGTTTCTGAACTGATTGATTGCCTTTAAGTTCATAGAGTGGGCTGAAACTTGACATGACAGGAATGGAACTTTAGCATGTTTCATTCTTCCCAATAAATGCAAAAGATTAGCAACAGCTAGCATGTTGTACTCACCTACATAAAAGCCTACAGCCAAGAGAAAAATTGTCTGAAAGGTGCTCATTCTGTCAAGCAGAGGGTCAAAGGGTCAATCACAAAGTGGCCATCACCAACATAAGGCGTGTCGGCTGTTTATACAATAAAGGGTCACATGAAATTTATCACTGCAATACAAACAAAAATATTTAATGACTAGCTGTCATTCTGGTACTTCATAAAATTTAGATCATATGTTTTTGTTTAAAGGTTCTGTCATTGGTTTTGGATCTGCAGGGTTGGTCCGTTGCTGGTTGCAGTCCAGGAGGAACCCCAGTCCAACCCGGTCCTTTTATCCCCATGGAAAAGATGGATGGAGAAAACACTCAAATCTTATAGCTATGGCATTGATAAGTAAATCAAATGGACAAAATACTATGAATCAAGAGCTTCAAATTTGAGTTGATTTATATAGATAATCAGGAAAATGGTACAGAAAACAGATCTGACCTCAGTGAATGCAAGTCAAAGAGTAACTGAGTCTCTGCTGACATAATCTTATACAGTTGTGGATCAGTACATGGAAATGTGTCAAGATAAGTGTGCATCACAAATCTTATCCTACCTGAACAAGATGTGAGAATCATGGGTGTCATATCCAGTCAGGTTGTGTGAAGAACGAACACTACAGCATACTTTGTGTGCAGATAAATGTTTATGTTTTTGTTTATGTTTATGTATTTAGCAGACGCTTTTGTCCAAAGCGACTTACAAGTGATAATCGGCATTTTGCCCTTGAGGCTAACAACAATAGTAACAACAACAAATTGACATCAGTCATGGAGAGGAGGGAACAAGGAGTGGGCAGTAGAGAGGAGGGATGGGTGCAGACAAGGTGCTAGTTAAGAAGATGCTCTCTGAAGAGCAGGGTCTTCAGGAGTTTCTTGAAAATAGAAAAGGGAGCCGCAGTTCTGGTAGTGTTAGGAAGGTCATTCCACATTTGTGGAACGATGCATGAGAAAAGTCTGGATTGTCCTGAGCGTGGTGTAGGCACTGCTAGCCGACAATCCTGTGATGACCGGAGTGGCCGGGCCGGGACGTAAGCCTTTGCAAGAGGATTCAGGTAGATGGGAGCCGTACCGTCTCGGACTTTGTATGCTAGTGTTAGCAATTTGAATTTGATGCGTGCCGCTAGTGGTAGCCAGTGGAGCTCAATGAACAGAGGGGTGACGTGTGCTCTTTTAGGCTGATTGAAGACCAGACGCGCCGCTGCGTTCTGGACCATTTGAAGAGGTTTCACAGTACAGCCTGGAAGACCAGTTAGAAGAGCATTGCAGTAGTCGAGGCGGGAGATGACAGTAGATTGCACCAGGAGCTGGGTGGCATGTTGTGTTAGGTATGGTCTGATCTTACGTATGTTGTACAGCGCAAAGCGGCATGAACGGGCAACAGAGGCAACATGATCTTTAAAGCCATGCTTTCGTTCTTTTTTAAACACAGAAACAGTTTTGTTTACCTGTTTGTAGCTACGGTTTCGCCGACAGCTGCCGGCTTCTTCAGGCTGACGCTGATGGTGGCGCGTCACTTCCGTCTCCGTTTATCTGCGGGCAGCAGAGGACGTTGTCGCCCTCTACTGCCCGCTCTCCCCTCTCCGACGATGCAGTCCCATGCGTGGTCCAGCGTGTAAACTCCGTCGTCCCTGTTCATGGTCCCACATCTACGTCTCCTTATCTCTATTGCTTCCTTGATCCATCTTTTGTATTTTTGTTGTTCAGTGGTTATGATCCGTGTGCTGTCCCAGTCCATTATATGGTTTTCTCTTAAGCAATGATCTGTTACGGCTGACTTTTTTATTGTACTTTCTGCTTCTTCTTTTGCTGCTCTTGTGTGTTTACGATTTGCCTCTTTCTCGCACTCCTTTCTGTGTTCTATTGTCTGTGTATTGAGTTGGCGTCCGGTTTCTCCTATGTATGTTTTATTGCATATTTTGCATGGGATTTCGTAGATGACTCCACATTTTTGTCCAGCTGATATTTTGTCTTTTGGGTGTACTAATCTGTTTCTAACTGTTGTGTATGGCTTTGTTGGTGTGTTTATGTTGTGTTTTTTCATTGTTGCTCTTATTTTTTCCGTCATGCCTCTGATGTATGGTAGGGTTATCACTGGTTTTGGTTCTTGTCTTTCTGGGTTTCTGGTTCTTTTTTTGGGTTGTTCTTTGCTTTCTGTTTTTGTTTGTTGTTTTCCTTTGTTTATTGCCCATGTCGGGTATCTGCAGGTCTTTAAAGCGTGTTGTATGTGTTTGTCCTCTTGTTTACGGTCTCTCTCTTCTGTTATTATGTTTGCTCGGTGATATAATGTTCTGATTACTGACATTTTGTGTATGGTGGGGTGTTCTGATGTCCATAATAAATATTGGTCTGTGTGTGTTGGTTTCCTGTATGTGTTTATGTTTAGGGTCCCGTCGGTCTGCCTGGTGATTTTCATGTCCATAAATGCTATGCTGCCTTCTGTTTCTAACTCATAAGTGAATTTTATGTTGCCCGTGTCGTCAATATTGTTTAAGTGTTGTGTTAGTGTTTCTGTTTGACCTTTTGGTATGATTTCGAGTATGTCGTCTATGTAGCGTTTCCATAGTTTTATTTTGCAGTTTGGGGGGGCGGTGGCTATGGCTTTTTGTTCCAGGTCTTCCATGAAAAACTCGCACAGGGTGGCTGATAACGGGTTACCCATGGCGAAGCCTTCCAGTTGTTTGTATATTGTGTTGTCGTATGTGAAGTAAGTGGAGTTAGCTACCAGTCCTATCAGTTGTGCTATGTCATCTGCTGTGAGGTTTGTCCTTTTATGTAAAGTTTTGTCTTGTCTGATTCTGTTAACTACTTTGTCTATGGTTTTTTGGGTTGGTGTTTTTGTGAACAGAGATGTGACGTCATGTGAGATGAGTATGTCGTTGTCTTCTATTGTAATTTCCTTTAGTTCTTTTGCCAATTCTATACTATTTTTGCAGTGTTGGTCTGTATTTCCTAATAACGGGCTGATGATTCTGCTGATATCTTTTGCCATGTTGTATGTTGGTGTACCTATGCTGTCAACTATTGGTCTAAGTGGGGTGTTTTGTTTATGTATTTTTGGTGTTCCATATATTCTTGGTGTTATGTTTGCTGTGGGAATCCAGTGTTTGTACATTTTTTCTGTTATTTTGCCTTTTTCGTGCAGTGGCTTCAGTAATTTTTCATGTTTTTCTTAATGTTTTCTGTTGGATCTTTTTTAAGTATTTCATATGTATTTTTGTCTTCTAGCATCTGTTTCATCTGTTGTTTATATTTTTCTCTGTCCATAACTACTGTGGTTCTTCCTTTATCTGCCGGTAGAATAATTATCTGTTCATTTTTGGATAAAGCTGTCATGGCTGATTGTTCTTCTTTTGTGATATTGCTGTGTTGAATTTGGCAGTTTTTTAATATCCCAACTACGTTATTTCTGAGTTCTGCTTTCTTTCCCTCATCTGTGATCTGTTGACATGCTAGTTCTGTTGCTACAATAAATTCATCATATGGTATTTCTTTTGGTGTGACTGCAAAGTTTAAACCTTTCTTTAATATGCTCTCTTCTGCTTCTGTTAGTTTGTATTGTGAAATGTTACATACCCATGAGTTTGGTGTGGAGTTGCCTTGTATTTCTCCCCTCTTTTTCTTGTTTATGAGTCTGTTTAACTTCTTTATGTGTCTTTCTTTCACTTTTATGAACTCTTGTTCCTGTTTTTCCATCATGTGTCCTTTAATTAGTTCCTCCATTTGTTTATCAAGTTTGTAATTCCTTTTCAAGTCCAGGTGTCCTCTTTCCAGTTAGTCCTCCACACGCCTCTGTTTGGTTATGACGTTCCTTATCCTCTCCTTGAGCAGTGCTCTCTGTTCTCTTTCTATTATATTTTGTGCTGTCTGGGTCCGGATCGATGTTTTCAGCTGTAGGCTTGTGGGTGTGATGTTTTCGTCCCGGCATCTTAAACAGAAGCGAAGGTGGTTTCTTAGACGTGCGCGTTTCTGGTGTAATCGTTCCAAACGGCGGAAGTCCTTCGTTCCTTGTTGTCCGTATTTCTCTTTGAACATCTTAGGTGTGTTCTTGCTGTGTCTTTGTAAATCCATGCTTTCGTTCTTTTTTAAACACAGAAACAGTTTTGTTTACCTGTTTGTAGCTACGGTTTCGCCGACAGCTGCCGGCTTCTTCAGGCTGACGCTGATGGTGGCGCGTCACTTCCTTCTCCGTTTATCTGCGGGCAGCAGAGGACGTTGTCGCCCTCTACTGCCCGCAGATAAACGGAGAAGGAAGTGACGCGCCACCATCAGCGTCAGCCTGAAGAAGCCGGCAGCTGTCGGCGAAACCGTAGCTACAAACAGGTAAACAAAACTGTTTCTGTGTTTAAAAAAGAACGAAAGCATGGATTTACAAAGACACAGCAAGAACACACCTAAGATGATCTTTAAAGGCCAGGTGTTCATCAATCACAACACCCAGATTTCGAACTGCCTTTGAAGGAGCCAGAGATAGGAAGCCATTCTGGATTGAGATATTGTGCTGAATGGATGGTTTTGCTGGGATGACAAGCAGTTCAGTTTTAGAGAGGTTGAGTTGGAGATGGTGGGATTTCATCCATTTTGAGATGTCAGAGAGACAGTTTGATATTCGTGCTGAGATAGTGTGGTCGTCCGGTGGAAATGACAGATAGAGCTGGGTGTCGTCCGCATAGCAGTGGTAGGAGAAGCCATGTGATCGCATGATCTCACCCAGTGAGGTGGTGTATATGGCAAAGAGAAGAGGTCCTAATACAGAGCCCTGGGGGACTCCTGTGGCAAGGTGGTGCACGGTAGAGGACTGTCCAAGCCAAGATACGCTGAATGATCGTCCTGTGAGGTAAGATTCAAACCAGGCGTGTGCTTTCTCTGTTATGCCCATGGTAGAGAGTGCGGACAAAAGGAAGCCATGGTTGACAGTGTCAAATGCAGCCGATAAGTCGAGCAGGATAAGCGCTGAGGATTTGCCAGTCGCTCTAGCTTCTTTTAAGGATTCAGTCACTGCTAACAGAGCAGTTTCAGTGGAGTGGCCCTTTTTGAACCCAGACTGGTAAGGGTCAAGCAGACAGTTTTGTGAGAGGTATTCTGTAATCTGCTTGAAAGCCACCCTTTCAATGATTTTGGACAGAAAAGGGAGGAGAGAGATAGGTCGGTAGTTCTCCACATGATCTGGAGGAAGAGATGGGTTTTTTTAGCAGCGGTTTAACCTGAGCATGCTTGAGAGAGATGGGAAATATACCGGATGTCAGTGATGCATTGATCACATGTGTGACTGCTGCGGCTACTGTGGGAGCAATAGCTTGGAGCAGCTTAGTTGGAATGGGGTCAAGTGGGCATGTAGTAGGGTGGCTGCACGTGAGAAGCTTGGACACACAGTTCTCAGTGACAGGGGGAAAAGAGGAAAATGAAGCAGTAGGGTCTGAGATGGTTGGGCTTGAAGGAGATTGTGGTAGTGAATGTTCAGGAGTGGCCAGTTGAGAAAACTGTTTTCTTATCGCTGCCACTTTGTCAGTGAAGAATGAGGCAAAGGTGTCAGCTGATAGATTGTTGGTAGGAGGTGGAGAAGGAGGGTTGAGCAGAGTTTTGAATGTTGAAAATAGTTTCTGAGAGTCAGTAGAGCTGAGAATTTTGTCAGTGTAGAA